ACCTCTGTTGCCATCACTGGCCAATCTAAGCTCTGAGGCAGCACTGGCTGAAAGCAGGTTTCTGGGGTTCATTTAGGTTCTATAATTGCAACATTGTTTCATCCAGAGCTCAGAGCTGAGCTGCGGTAGGCGGGGAATGTTGACTTCCTCCATCCCCGGGGTAAGCAAGCCTCATGTTCATGTTCGCTTCAGCTGCCTGGCTGCTGGCCGCCATCTTGGCTGGCAGTTAATTTTCATATCTCGCTGATTAGCCAATGGGAAGGGTAGCGAAGTTATGGTTAATTACCATGTTTCTCTATTATTAGATAGAATACTTAATGTGAATTATTTCTCCTAAGGAGTCATTTTACAACTCTAAAGCATGTTTTTGTAACACTGCTGTGGTTATTTATGAATTTCATATATTTGTTTTCAAACAATTAAAAAACATCTGGATAAAGGAATTGGTAGTACAACATATACTGATATCGCATAAAGGGAAACAGTCCTATCAATTGAGCATCTATCTTTTGCATAATCCATCAGCTTGTTTGTGCTCCTGTGATAATGGAGTCACGCTCTCAAACTGCCACTTCTTCCATCAGAAACCAGATGAAGGATATGCCAATAGTCTTATCACTGCATCTCTAGCCAGGACTTTTGTGGAGTGCTATAAAAAATGCACCTGACCACAAGTAGAGATGCTAGGTTCCTTCTGTACTTCTCATTACAGGCTAATTCAGACTGGAGCATCTGTTACACATCTGTTATTTGGCTCAGTATTTGCTGCCCTTCATGATGTTTAGATGAGGGCAGCCTGCAGGGTCATGAGTACAGTCAACTCTTAAGTGTGGGGCTCATAAATTTTGTGAATTATTGATGTCCAAATGATAAACCCATGTCAGCTTCTCTCCTATCATAGGCTAGTTTCATTAGTAGTCATTCCCATATTAACCTTAATATAACATAATGAGAAAAATTAACTTGCTAGTAAAAAATGTAATACTTAATCAAGTTACATATTTGGATTTGGAATTAGCCACAATTTTGGATGAGCCATATCAATGCTACTTTTTTCAGAGAGGAAAACTGAGTTAGCTACCTATAGAAAAATGTGCACAAGCACTTAGGAGTTGAGTGCCATAATAAATCCTTAACGGATGTGTGTTATTTATGAAAAGTAGAATCAGGTTCTAGACTTTAGAAAGCTTCTTTAGTTACTCAAACAGGATAGAATATAAAGAAAAGAATGTTCTCTCTCCCTGGGTTTCCAAGTTAAGCCAACACCACGCTTTAAGGAGCCCAGTAAAACAGAGGAGGAACTGTGGTGATGCTTTTTCTGTTCTAAAGAGCTGTTACAGATTAAGCTCAGATAGTTCACTTTAAATAATACAGCAAGTGATACAGCTGATTTGCTTATCATAACCTCTAAATAACAGTAATCTCTTACTGTGCCCCACTCATAGGTTAGAATAATGAGAGCATCTGAAAGATGAGCAAGAAAGGTGCATCAGGTGACTGCTCTCTCCTGCCCTTAACCAGTCCTCCAATGTGACACAAAGTGAGGGCTCAAAAGATGACAGTGAGATTAATGGGTAAAGTACACATTCTATTAATTTTGTAAGGGTGCCCTTACCAATATAACCTGGTACCTCTTTGCCCTTGTATGAGAAACAGAGTGTTAGATCCATGCACACAGAAGGCAATCCATTTTCAATACAGTCAAAATTTGTTCTATTTACTGACTCAGGATGGTCTAAAGAAGCTTCGACAATCACTACAGGTCTTGTCCTAAGGAGGAAATAAAATTAGGAATATTAACTACAGAATTATTTTTCCTTAGGAAAAGAATTGCATTTGTTTTGTCAGTTTCCATTGACTAAGTAATTTCATGAAACTGTTTTATTAATAGTATGTGCATATAAACTCAATTAAATTTCCATGCATGAATCAAGAGGGATTTTCATAAAATATTGACTCTGATTATATTAATTATATCTATGTAAGGTGGGAAAAGTATCCTAAAGTTCAATAATTAAATTTTGGAATACCAAAAGGAGGGTTATGAGGTCACCACCATTGCTGATTTTAAAAATTGCCTCCCATCATTTACACTTAAGCCCAATTGTCATTAAGCAGCGAAATGTATCAATCTTACCTTAGCAACACAGCAGAATTGGACCGAAAAGCACCAACTGCTATATCTGGAAAATAAAAAAACAACACGGATTATTGATCATTATTAGTCAAAGAGAATTACTTTTCAGTCAGAAATACTTAACTACATATCACCTTTGGACTACATCAAAACACTACTTACAAAAAATTAATTAGAAAAGACATGCTTACGTACATCTTAAAATTCATTCCACATTTGTCTGAATCTACCCAGTTGTAACAACATTCATCCCTTTATAATATAAACATAATGTGACATAAAATGAAAATCCAATTTTTGGACTAGAAACATTCACCCAGAAATCTTTCAAATTACAAAAAGAGAACCCACAATAATAGTTTCTTTCTTTTCATCATCATACCTAGAGACCCGGTGCACGACATTTGTGTACTTGGGGGGGGGGGGCCCTCAGCCGCTGGTCCAGATCCTGATCCAGGTCTAGATGAGGGAGGGACATTCAGGGGGAGTGTCTGCGGGAGAGGCTCCTGCTGTTGCAGCTGCACTTACCAGCTGTGAGCCCGGTCTGGCGAGCCCAGTTTCTGGCTGAGCAGTGTTCCCGCTGTGGGAGCGCATTGACCACCAGGGGGCAGCAACCTGTGTTGAGTGTCTGCTCCCTGGTGGTCAGTGCATGTAATAGCGACTAGTCTTTCTGCCATTTGGTTGATTTGCATATTAGCCTGTTATTATATAGGATGGTTCATTTACTTTTACGGTTTTTAATTTTTTTTAATTTTAATTTTAATTTTGGCAGATGGTTTTTAATTTTATAAAGAATAAGGAATGCCCTAACCGGTTTGGCTCCGTGGATAGAGCATCAAACTGCAGACTGAACGGTCCCAGGTTTGATTCCGGTCAAGGGCATGTACCTTGGTTGCGGGCACATCCCAGTAGGAGGTGTGCAGGAGGCAGCTGATCGATGTTTCTCTCTCATCGATGTTTCTAACTATCTCTCTCCCTTCCTCTCTGTAAAAAAATCAATAAAATATATATTTTTTAAAAAAAGAATAAGGAATAATGTTAAATAACTAAGTGTAAAGCTCAGGAATTACTTAACCATTTCAGAGACATCCTTGAATTCAAAAAAGCTTTAAAAATGAAGGAAAAAGTTATCAGGAAATCAGAACTCTCTTATGTATGTATTTCTCAATAAATAGAATCCACAACAGAGCTTATCCCAATATAAAAAATAAGGTAAATTTTATACTCACCCATATATCCATTATTATCTGCATCAATTTGCCCAGATATGGACTGTCCAAACATACTTAAGGATTTGCTGATTTGAAGCCCTTCAATTCTCTAAAAAACAGGTAAGTTGAGTGAGAAGTGCTTTTGAACACCCTCTATCCTCGAGAAGCAGTGATTTAGTTAAAAAGCCTTCCCATGCCCCGGCACATTTATGAGCAAAATACATTTTAGCTAAGTCAAACACTTGTATCTAAGAGAAACAAAATTTTCCAGCTTTCCCTGGGCAGTTGACATCTAAAAAAATTGCTTTATTTTGTGAGCAAAGGGAAATCATGTAGTACAGATGTCCTATAATGGCTCTGACCCCTCTCCCCAGTCTTCTCTCTGGTTCTATATTTATTTCCCTGACCAGCATAAATTACCAAACAAGTAATCTGGAAAATAAGACATTGCTAGTCACTTAGTGGAGCCCTCAACTCAGGCTTATGAGGAAAGCCACCCGTTAGCCGACTGCATCCTAGCATTTGACAAGGACAACTCAATCCTGTGCTTCCTATTCCGTGTGTCTCATTTCATGTCTAGATAGTGATTTATAAGCATCAGGCTGCTATCCACACTTAGAAAATCAGTATTTTTTACTAGACAAACACATACCTTTCATGTTAAATGTAGAAAGCCACGTGCCTATTTTTGCCCAATCAGAAATTACAATATTAGCTAATGTTTTCATAAAAGTGTCTTTGGAAAAGCTTTTCTTCTCTGCATGTGCATATAGTTGTTTTCTATGCCCTGAACCGGCCTATTTTTTCAGATTATAGAAGTGAAGTCAGAGTTAGATCAGGAACTTTATTAAAGTGCTATCGGCTTACTGCTTGCACTGAAAGAACACAGAGTAACATATAGAGAGTTTGCTCTCTCTGTGTGATCTCCATGAAATATGGGGCCTTAGCTACAAGACATGATAGTTAATCAAATCCAAATGTGCTCATTTGGAATAGTATAGATATTACCTCAGAACATGAGTTTAATGAAATCCAGAGAGAAATCTTTATAGGTTAACGACAAACCAGGATGGACGTGAACTAGAACTCTTATTTATGGGGGGAAAATGGTTCCAAAGACTTATTAATACTCTTACAAATGAGACCATGTACTATAGTGATAAAAATGGTGAAATAGAATAGTTAAGTATTTGAACAAACAATTTAAGAAAAAGGAGTCTCATTAACACAGGAAATGTTAAAGAAGCTTTTATTACCAATGCTTCTTTTGAAAATGGAATCATCTCCTACCTGTGAGAAGGCCGATGAGATCCCATCTGCTCCACCATTGTAAATATAAATGGCGCCTCGCAAGTCATCTTCCTGTGGGGCTCCAATAGCAACATCTATTCAAGAATGTAAGTGGTGGAAAAATAAATCCTTCATATAAAAAATGCAACTCTGAAAACTAACCTGCATGCTCCTTAATCATATCAGATAACATAAGAAACTCCTTATAAAAAAAAAATGAACACTTTTCTCATTGAAAAAGATTACAAAATACTAGTATCATCACAAAAATGTACAGTGCTGTACAGAATAGTGGGTGCATGAAAGAAGCAGGGTAAATGGGTCTGAGAGGCAGTTTAACAGAATGGCTAAGGGCATGGGCTCTAGAGCCAGACCCCCGGGCCTGGATCCCAGCATTGCTGCCATGCTGTTATACTGGACATAGTTCTTAATGTCTCTGTGTCTCTTCTGTCCCTCACCTATAATACAGGGTCATAAGAGAACTCAGTCACTCAACATAGAAGGACATTATTCATCTACAGTGCTCAGAGCAGCACCTAGAACATAATCAATTATCCTCAACTATGTAGAGCATAACCAAAGAATCCTTACTTTGAGTTTTTGAGTTCTAAGATTTACTTTCTTTGCAAAATGACTTCTAAATTAACTCATGTTCCAATGCAAATAATGAAGGTATTTGTTCAGGGTATCTGTACACACACACATACACACAAGATTTCAGAAAATAGATTTGTTGTATAAAATAAAGACTGTATCACCTTTATGACTTTATTAAGATTCAAATCAGATTTTGACACCAGGGGAAAAGATTTGATCAGCTAACATAAAAAAAAGCCAAGTGAAAATAGAAACTATGAATGACATGGTTGGTTACGTGCTATAAATATAGAGTACATAAAGAAAAAAACTCTACATTTTTCTACTTATTTACTAAGTATTATGTCTATTTATTTGGGTATTTCATATTTTTGTTTATATGCAATGTTTTCTTATTACTTTAATAGAAACCTAAAATATAGAAAGTTTGTTTTATGATTTTCATTTCTTATCACTGTTCATCAGACCTAAAAACTTTTTATAAAACCAGGTGGCAGTTTTTTACTGCCATTTCAATGCAAATAAAGTAATCTTTAATATATTCTTTAGACCAGTGGTTCTCAACCTTCCTAACATCGTGACCCTTTAATACAGTTCCTCATGTTGTAGTGACCCTCAATTTCATTGTTACAAATTGAACATAATTAAAGCATAGTGATTAATCACAAAAACAATATGTAATTATATATCTGTTTTCCAATGGTCTTAGGCAACCCCTGTGAAAGGGTCGTTCGACCCCAAAGGGGTCATGATCCACAGGTTGAGAACCGCTGCTTTAGACCAAATACTGTGCAGTTTAAAACTGCAAAAGCTTTTCTATTTTCATATAAAAATAACTGGTTGATATATCTTATACTTTATTTTGTCTTGACCTGCTAAGGTTACCCTACTTGACTTGTACAAATTATTTTAAATTTTCATACCCAAATACACCCATTCACTTGTTCATTCAGTGGGCAACTATTGAGCACCTACTAAATTTCTGCTGAAAAATCTGAAAAAAATACTGCCCTGTACTGTCAGCTCCTGGCAAATGTTTGGAATACAGTATGAAAAAATGCTAAAGGGACTTATTTAAAACAAAAAAGAGAACTAATCCTATGTAATAAAAGAGAAAAAAGGTAATTAGCCATACCTCCACTACCCTTCCCATTGGCTAATCAGGGCGATATGCAAATTAACTGCCAGCCAAGATGGCAGCCGGCAGCCAGGCAGCTTGAAGCGAACATGAGGCT